ATAGTGGTAATGGGTGTCATGAAAAGCTAAATTAACAAAAGCACGACGATGTCTAATAGCACTTTCAAGCATTGTGTATGTTGAATTCCATCTAGTCGGTACATCTAGCCTCAAACCCATTGAAGTTTCAATACCCCCAACATTCTCACAACATTTCTTGAAATTAATGAACCTTGCCTGTGATTGCTTTACATATCTAATGCTCTCCCTGATTTTGTGCATAGCATCACTTGTTACTTTCAAGCCCTCCTGCACTATGAGATTCAAGATATGGGCACAACATCTCACATGGAAAAACTCTCCATTGCAGATCAAGCTATTGGTCAAATTCAACTGTTCTTTCAGCAAATTTTGCATATTATCATTTGCTGAAGCATTATCCAAAGTAATAGAAATACCTTTTTATCAATCCCCCAATCCCTCAATATATCATGTGTCCTTTTAGCCAATTCAATCCCAGAGTGAGGAGGATCCATCTTAGAGAATGCAAAGATTTTGCTATCAAGCTTCCATTTATCATCAACAAAATGAGTAGTCAAACAAAGATATCCTTCACCAGTTATAGAAGTCCAACAATCAGAAGTCAAACACACTCTACAAAGACTGTTTGCTAATGTTTTCTTTAGGATCTCCTTTTGACTAAGATAGAAATTCCAAATATCCACCACAGCAGTTTTTCGAGTAATGTTCTTGTAATCAGGATTTAAATATGAAAGTAAATCCCTAATTGCATCATACTCAAGAAAGGAATATGGAAGATCATGTTTAATAATAGCAAAAGCAATCTTATCTCGGACCTTGTTATGATCAATTTGTCTAGCCCTCACATTCCCTGCTTGATCTATCATCATGGCACTAATGTTCTTATATTTTGGAAGAGACACACATACATTAACATGACCCTGGAGAGTTGAAGTCCCATAATCCTTACCACCAACTACATACACTTTTCCACACCCATTACATGTAGCCTTTTCTTTGCCATCTATAATACTTTTAGTAAAAAACTTCCAAACCTCGGATGTTGTTTTTTTTAGCCCTTTTATTTGATTCAGGCATAGAAGACACGGGTGGAGCAAATTCATCTTGAACGGTATTACTTTCAGCAGCATTGTCAACATACTTTCTTTTATTTGTCTCATCACCCATTTTGGTTTAACAACGTATACTGCAAAAGATATTCTATATTTCCATTCAACAATTACAAGAACAAGAAAACATTGAAAAAAAAATTAAATTCTACTAATCTATTTCAATCAGATCCAAATGACCAAACGACCCAAACATAACTAAAAAAATTGAAATTTAACCGAAGAAAGAATAATCAATCTATCAATCCAGTATTCCAGTCACAATCTCGGCCTTAACAACTAACAAGTGTTAAATTAATGACTTAATCAATCCAGTATTCCAATGAATTAGCAAATTACCGAGGGGGAGAGGAGAGCACAGCTGCACAGAACAGGCGAGCAGTTAGCAGAGTGGCTGAGTGACCGTGTGCGCGAGGCAGAGTACAGGAGGGAGAACTGGAGAAAAGAACAATCACCAACGGAGCAGGAGGGAGACTTGGAGCAATGGAGCTCGAAAAACCCAGATTGGAGCTCGACGACAATGAAGAAGGGAGACAGACTCAAGCGACGCGAACGCGATCTCTGTCTCTGCCTCTGACCTACGAGCGAGAGTGCGAGACCAGCCACCAACTCCAAGAACCCCTAGTCGCCATTAGTAGTCACCAGAGACGAGAGTGAGTGAGATTGAGGTTGAGGATTTGAGTTTGAGACTTGAGAGAGGGGTGTCTGTGTGAGATGAGAGTCTGCTGTCTCGGTTTCTCAGACTCTGCCTCTGCATGACCGGTGACCGTGCCGTGAGGTGAGGGTGAGCCGTGACTGTGAGAGCCTAAGCGTGAGGTCGTGACTCCATAAGTGGTGATGTTCAGACCGTCAAAGGGACTGAGGGAGTGAGGTTTAGGCACTGTCGGCGTCGCACTGAGACTCTGAGAGTGAGGACTGACCGTGAGTCCGTGAGACCGTGACTGAGTGTTAGGGAGTGACTGAGCGAGTGAGGCGAGGGACGGGGGGGGAGTCGGGGACGGCTGGTCGGCTGCTGAAACTGGAAGGGTTAGGGTTATGACTTACTGGATTAGTGTCTTAGTTAGTGACTTTGGTTTGGTGTCAGGAGTCTAGGAGGGAAAACCAAGAAAAGGGGAAATATAAAATTTTTATTAAAAAATGGCGGGTTATACGGGCTAGCCTGCCGACCCGCGGGTTAAACAGTCCGGGTTGCTGTAACCTCTTTTTGGCGGGCTGGAAAAAAGCCAACCCTAACCCGCCTCTTTAGAGTCGGTTGGCGGGCTGGCCCGCGGGCCACAGCCCATATTACCGACTCTAAAAAGAGGTGGCCGGCTGACCACGATGGATTCCATAATAAGGAAATAGTAGATTCTCTGCCATAGTTGTCATCACTGTTTTCTTCTGCTAAAGTATAAAAATTCTGCGTTGCATTCAGAGTCCTATGGGTTTTAATATATCTTAATCAAAATATAACTTATTTTTGCTATGTTTCTTGCAGATTGAGAAGCAAGTAAATGAAGTTGAACAGTTCTACCAATCCACTTCTAATGTTCAGACCAGTGGCAATTCCAAAGGTAGTTCACTTATTAAAGACAAGGGACGAGAGAAGCATTTTATTAGTGCCGAGAAGCAACAGCAAAATGCACTGCGTAGGGCAGCAGCTGCTGCAAAGAGAATGCAAGAGCTCATGCGCCTGTTTTCCACAATATTACGTCAGGCAAGTACAACTATGCCCTCTTATGTAATTTTATTTCTTTTGGTGATGATTTAGATCACTTTATGCTTCTAATATAGAATAATTGATTAACATTTAGGTAATTATTTAAATTAGTTATTGTCTTAATAGTTATTTAATTTAAATAGTTATCCAGTTAGTTAGTAAGTTAAGATATAGATATACATATTTAGATTTAAATTTAAACGTCATATCTTAACCCTTTCTTAATCATATCCTCCTACTGTGGTTCCTTCTAATAGTTTCTTGTTAGGGTCATGACTCATTCAAACTCGGTCTGCTGGGATTCTGACGTAGAAAAAAGTTAGGAAGAGGAAAGAGAAGTGGGAAGAAGAGGGGAGAGAGAGAAGGAGGAGAACAGGAGAGAGACGAGAGAGAACATTCTATTGCATTAGTCTCATCATTAAAACTCACTCCTTTAATCAAGTCCTAGGCCCCTTGTTTATACTATTCTAAGCCTAACAGCCAATCTAAGCCTAACTAGTAATTCATAACTGTCGCAACTAACTACCTCCTACTTCCTTATATATTTACATAACAGATTCCTCCCAAGGTTGTGACTCATTTTGACCCAGCCTGCTGGGATTCCTACAAGCAATATCTCATTAGTGTTGTGATTCATTCCAACCCATTGTGTTGATTCCTTCAAGATGTGTCTCATCCTTGGTTGCTAGAAGACCTCCCTTGCACTGCATTGCTAGAATTGTCTAGAACCCATGCATCAGCATGTGAGATTGTGTGCACTGTCACTTGTCCATGCTGTTTGCCTAGATTTGATCAAAGTGTTATCATTCACATATTTGATGCTGGTTGAATCAGTTCAAGCATCTGAATATATCCAAATCCCTTAAGAGGTAGTTATTCATGAATAAAAAAGACTTTTTCAATTTGAAGTGAACTCATAGCGGATGAAAAAGGAAGAAGAAAAGAATATCCTATTATTTTGGTGACAAAATCTCCAAAAAAATCTATAATACTAATACTATTTTTATGATTTGTTGTTTTTCTTCTATTTTGTGGTCACTTATTGTTCTTGTGGAATATGCGTGACTTGTGAATGCTCTTGGAAAAATCTGTCTTTTCAAGTCTTACTATTATACATTGAATGATTGTACATACATAAGTTAGTGTATTTTTCTGTTGAAAGAATCACTGTTAGAAACATTTGTTCTTTTGATCCCCTTTTGGCAGTTCCATGTATAAAGGTTATTTTTGAATAATCTCTTTAGGTTGTCTTAATTTATTTGCATGCACAACTAATTGTGAAGTTTAGATGTATCAGAGAATATTTAGGATTAGTCTTGTTCTTTTCTGTTTCTACAAGGAGGGTCTTTTCCTATGTGTCAACACTTATAAATTGAACTGGTAATGTTTCATTTGAAAAATCCATAGGGACGTGTTGTGTAATATTAATAGGCATGAGAGTTAGGTATTACAGCTGTTAGTTAGTTGGGCTAGTTAGGGAGAGTTGTGTTTAGCATATATAAATAAGGGTAGGGTGTTAAATCCGTATGTTTTATTAATGAGCATATACAGAAGTATTATTCAGATCCGACCTAGCAAGCTCTCTCTCTGTCTTCTAGTTCTTGTCCTATTCTCTCTTCTCTCTTCGCTCTTCATTCTCTTTCTTAAAAAGAGTGATATCAAAGCCTTCTTTCGTACCCTTATATGCCTAGCTCACGTTCCCTGGATGCACAACACCAAATGACGGATTAGAATGGTGAAAGATTTTGTGTCTTAGAGGGACAGTTTCAGCTCTTACAGCTTAGGTTGCACAACTGATTTAGGGTTCTAGGCACAACAGTTTCAAGCTCTTACAGCCTTGATGAATCACACAACTATGGGAGGTCATCCTTCAATGGTCATGGTGGCCAAGAAAGACCAAGAATAGAGTAGTATCAGACACCTCCCTGCTTTGCAAAGATGGATTTTCCAACATTTACAAGAAATGATGTGCTTGGTTGGATTTTGGAGGATGAACGTTTTTTCACCTGGATGAAACACCGTCTGAAAGGTGACAATGGCCAGTATTCACTTACAGATGAGAAGGCTTTTCAATGGCCCCAAGCTTTTGAGAAAGGACAAAATGGGTTGGAGCTCACGTGGGATGTGTATGCCTCAGCCATTAAAGCACACTTTGGACCTTCTTATAAAGCTCCCATGGAGGAACTCATTTGATTGCATATGACAGGTGCTGAGTGAATATAGATGCATTTGATGCCATAGAGAATTGCTTGTTGTGGTGCTTGCAGTGGAGCATTGGCATCAATATCTTGAAAGGAAGTTTATCATAAGAACAGACCAACAAAGCCTGTGGTGTCTGTTAGGGCAGAAATTGAAGACATCTTTTGAATTGGATTGGGTTGCTAAGTTGATGGATTATGAATACGAGATCCAATACAAGACGGAGAATGATAATACTGCAGCAGACACTCTCTCTCTTCTTAAGGGGTCTCAGTTATCGCAAATCGCCCAGACACAACGTCTCCTGTGTTATTACAAAAGATTGAAGAAAGCTGGGAAGTGAATGCAGATTTGAAGGGCCTAATTTCTGAGTTGCAGAAACAAAATGGCAGCATTAAGGCCTACACTTGGAATAATAAGTTTTTGAAGAGATAGGTTGGTAATGTTCCAGATTTGAGGCAACCAATTTTGGAATGGTTATTTGCTCAGGGTGGACATTTGGGAATTCAACCCATTTTGGTGGAAGAAATTAATCAAGAATGTGCTGGACTTTGTTATGTTCAGTATACATAATTAAAGAGAGGGTCTTAATCTGAATGTGATGGTAATGAGCATGTACAGAAGTCTTGTTCGGATCAGACATCTTTCTCTCTCTGTGTCTTCTGGTTCTTCCTCTGTTGTATTCTCCCTTCTCTTTTTATTCTTCTTACAACATGTGATTTCTTTCTTCTCAGATTACTCAGCACAGGTGGGCGTGGCCTTTTTTGGAGCCTGTAGATGTTAAAGGTCTTGAATTGCATGACTATTATGAGGTAAAGCTGTCCTGCATCTCGGAGCTTTCTATTGTTCGATACCATTGTTAGCACAAAACTGTGTTCGTGTGGAATCTTATGCCCAACAATAATGTATTCATCTTTACACTTGTCTTTCTTCAACTTGATGGGCTATTGTTTCTGCTCATTGTGGATTCCCCCCCAGTTGCCATCTACCTTTTATCTTGGACTGCTTTGTTTTCCCTTTTGTCCCCAGTTGTATACCTGGAAGTAATATTTACTTTTGCACCCTTAGGTTATTGAAAAGCCCATGGATTTCAGCACTATTAAAAGTAAAATGGAAGCCAAGGATGGTACTGGTTATAAGAATGTTCGAGAGATCTATGCCGATGTAAGGTTGGTTTTTAAGAATGCAATGAAGTACAACGATGAGAAAAATGAATTTCATGTTATGGCTAAATCCTTGCTGGAAAAATTTGAGGAGAAATGGCTGCAACTCTTGCCGAAAGTTGCTGAAGAGGTAATTAGTGGACTAACTTGGGGTGAACAACTTCTCTTATTAAAGTTGCTTTTTTTTTTTTCCTCCCTACTTTAGCAGCAATGATTTTAAGTGACCCATGGCACATTTTCCCCTTTCTTATTACCTTTCTATGTTTGGTTATTGCAGGAGAAAAGACTACAAGAGGAAGAAGCAGAAGCACATTCAGATATGCAGCTTGCACGGGAAGCCACTTATGCCAATATGGCTAGGGATTTAAGCTTTGAGGTTGGCTACAAATTTGAGCTTCAGTTGTTATTTCCAGTGCAACTAAAGTCTATTGCTTGATGTTACTATTTTCGCTTTTCCAATGTCTGCAGCTTTTTGAGGTTGATAAGAATTTGAAGACTCTCAAGCAAACAGTGATTCAGAAGTGCAGGTTGGTGAAAGACTCATCCATTAATGTTACCATTTTTAATGAGATTAATTTGCTATAGAAATATACGATGAATCTGTTTAATTCATTTAAATCTCTTGGACATAATGATTCTGATAGGACTCTCCGATCAAAGAGCAGAAAAGTGGCTACTATTTGCATTAGAACTCAAACGAGTCTTGGGTAAAATCACAACACATTCTTACAGCGTGGTAAAATACAGCTTAAGAACACCAGGAACAGAATAGACTTGCCAGTTTTCTGGAGGCTGCCTCTCCAGCCAAAATGAGATTCAAATTCTGTGCTCTTACAGTCAGTTTTCTCCTTTTAAAGCCTTCTCCCAACCACTCCTTTCCCGTTGTCATCATGGATTACCTTTTTTAACCACCCTTTCCCTCATGATTTCTGCTGGACTCAGTTCCTTCATTTCTTTTTTTGTCCCCTCTTTTCTGCATTCCCCTCATCCTTTCTTGCCTCCTCTGGATCTTGGCTGCAGGTTTGGGCCCATCATTACCCTCCCCCAAAGAAGTTTTATCTTGTCCTCCAGGTGGATTTTGGAAGATTGCATTTGGACGGCTTTAATTTTCTTCCATGTACTTGTCACTGCTTCAGTTTTTTGGTGAGCTCTCCAAATTCAATCATGAAATATTTCTACTCCTTGCACAATGACTTGCCTTGAAGGATACTTGTGTCGCTGGTCGCAAAAGATCTTCCTTCATGTAGATCAGCTTTTTCTCTTTCATATTGTTCATTGTGTGTTGGGTTGCCCTTACCTCTCCCAAGACTAAGTCTTCTTCCCCAAGCTCAGATGATTATCTTCCTTGATGACTTTCTGGGGCTTTATTTCCAACTATAAATTTCTACACGCTTGATCTCCTCATTGATACTTGTATTTTACAGTCTATGCTAGCAGCTTCATCCTTTACACCAAATTGGAAGAAATTAACTTATCAGAGGCTTCACTGTCTATTAGAACAATTATAGAGTTTGTCGTTGATAAGAGTCTAATGGCGTTATGCAATCTATGTGGCTGATTTTACTTAGTGAGTTGAGGTTTGTTGTTCTTTGCCCTTCATCATCCAGTGCCAGCACCACCAGTCTGATGGGTCTCGTTTTTCGCTTTATAGTTGGGCTCCAACTTCTCATTACATTTGAAGGAAAGGCACAACTTCTGTCTGGTTGACTGAGCAACTAATAGCTTCCTAAAGTTGTTTTCCCTTCTTCTAAGTGGGGCATTTAGTATGTGAGCTTGCCTTGGGCTTGTTTGTTATAGAATAAATATATGTAAGAGTGAGAAATAGAGAGGGGGGGGGGACAGAGAGAGGAATTCGAAATGTAGAGAACAAGTGGAACTTCCCCCTGCCCCTGGGGGCAGAGAACTTCAATTCAACTCATTAACCTTCAAGCCTACCTACAAGTGACTTCTCCCATCCTTTCATAACCGTGTGCCAAGGAACTATACGCCAAGTAATGTTGGGTGGTTTTCCTACTTATTTAAAATTCTGTGACGGCTATCTTTAGTGCTCTACTTTCACATGCCGTTTCCAAAACTAGATTCCTTTTTCTACTCTATGGACCGTATACCTCGGTTTTCTTGCATTCTTAGGTCTGCCTTAACCTCATGCTTCAAGCCATTTAAAAAGGGGGGAAAAAAAGACTTTGAACACATTGCCTTTTTCTTTCAACCTAGCCAGTTTGAGTAATTATTTTGAGTAATTCACACTCCCTTGTATTATTTCATATGATAGGCTACAATATATAGAGTCCGGATGGGTGAGAGAATCCGGTTACAATCAATCAAAATTGAATTACAATTAATTAGAGATATAGCAGCACATAATCAGGGATTGATCTTGTAGCTAAAATCATGGGTAGGGATTCTGAGGATATCACGGGATTCTAACACTCCCCCTCAAGCTGGAGAGTAGATGTCAACCATTCCCAGCTTGCTTCGAAGCCCTTCAAACTTGACTCTAGCCAAAGGTTTGGTCATGATGTCAGCAATCTGATCAGATGAGCGCACATAGTTCAAGTTGATGATACCCCCTTCTACTTTCTCTTTGATAAAGTGCCGATCAATGTCGACATGTTTTGTTCGGTCATGGTACACCGGATTCTTTGTCATTTCAATACTAGCTTGGTTGTCACACCAAAGTTTCACTGGGCCTTCATAGGGAATTCTTAGTTCATTCAGGAGTCTGATCACCCACATTCCTTCACATACCCCCAGTGCTACAGCTCTTAGCTCAGCTTCAGCACTGCTTCTTGAGACCACGGTCTGTTTCTTGCTCCGCCAAGTGACAAGGTTTCCCCAAACATAAGTACAATAACCTGTGACAGATCTCCTGTTATCCACAGCTCTCCCATGATCTGCATCAGTGTAGACCTCTATGTGTCTTGTATTTTCCCTTTTAAAGAATATTCCTCTTCCAGGATTGAGTTTGAGGTAGGTCAGGATTCTATACACTGCTTCCATGTGTTCTTCCTGAGGTTGGTGCATAAATTGGCTTACCACGCCGACTGCATAGCTGATGTCAGGTCGTGTATGGGTCAAGTAGATTAGTTTTCCCACAAGTCTTCTGTACCTTTCTGCGTCAACTGGTACTCCTTCTAGTTTAACCTCCAGATTGCATGATTCTTCCATAGGTGTTTCACTCGGTTTACCCCCAAGTATCCCTGTTTCGTGGAGTAAATCAAGTGTGTATTTCCGTTGAGACACACTTATACCCTTTTTAGATCTAGCAACCTCCATTCCAAGAAAGTACCTCATTTGTCCTAGGTCCTTTACTTGGAATTCCCTTGCCAGGGCTCTCTTGAGTTGAGTGATAGAAGCTTCATCATCACCAGTTATGACTATATCATCCACATACACAATTAGGATCGTTACCTTTCCAGCACTGTGTTTGATGAAAAGGGTATGGTCTGCTTGACCTTGGTTGTAACCAAATCTTTTAATTGCTTTGGCAAACCTATCGAACCATGCTCGTGGAGACTGTTTCAGGCCATATAATGACTTCTTCAGTTTGCAAACCGAATTGGGTGGAGCTATTACTCCATCTGGGACTTCCATGTATACTTCCTCCTCTAAGTCTCCATTTAGGAAAGCATTCTTTACATCCAGTTGATGAAGAGACCAGTCAAGGTTGGCGGCTAGGGATAGAAGTACCTGGATGGTATTGAACTTTGCCACTGGTGCAAACGTTTCTTGATAATCAATCCCATAAGTTTGCGTGTACCCTTTTGCAACTAATCTCCCTTTGTACTTGTTGATGCTTCCGTCAGGATTGAACTTAGGGGTGAAGATCCATCTGCAACCCACTGCTTTCTTCCCCTCAGGGAGTGTGGTAATATCCCATGTGTTACTATCCTCCAAGGCTTTCAACTCTTCGTATGCTGCATATTTCCAATTAGGATCTTTCATGGCCTGTTGAAATGTCTCTGGAACTTTTACCTGTGAGCTATTCACCACAAAGGTTTGCATTCTAGTAGACAAATTGCCGTAAGAGACAAATCTTTGAATAGGATGCTGAGTACATGACCTTACCCCCTTTCTAAGTGCAATAGGCCATCCTAGCTCTTCAGGATCCAACTCCGGATTGGAATCATGTTGCTGCCTTGGAATGGAAGGAACCCTACTACTCCTGTCTTGTTCTCCTGGTTGAGACCCTGAGTGCTCTGTCACCCCTGCATCAATCTCAGCATTTGTTTCCATTGTGTGAGGGTTGTTTGTGGGGCTGTTGGGCTGTTCTGGTCGAGGTGTAGGTTTTGGGTTTTCTGGTTCAGGTTCAGGTATTTCCTCTTGTGGTATGGAGGGTTCAGGAGGGTTAAGATGTGAGTTGGTTGTGGGTTCAGGTGTAATTAGCCATTCTATTCGATCACTCTCCCCCTGAATGGGTAATTTGGGATAATATGCATCATCCTCATAAAAGACGGTGTCTTTGGAGATTATGAGTTTTCTAGTAGAGGGACAATAACACCTATAACCTTTTTGAGTGGAGGAGTACCCAAGGAAAATGCATTTTTCTGCTCTAGCACCCAGTTTGCCCCCATCATGTTTATGGACAAAGACAACACACCCAAAGACCTTTTGTGGGATGGTATTGATGATAGGTGAGGTTGGGTAGGTCTCAAGGAGTTTTTGGATAGGGGTACTGAAATTGAGAATTTTGGAGGCCATTCGATTGATAAGGTAGGCTGCGGTTAGCACAGCGTCTCCCCAAAACAGGCTGGGAACATTTCTTTCCATCATAATGGCTCGGGTTACTTCTAAGAGATGTCTATTCTTTCGCTCGGCAATTCCATTTTGTTGAGGAGTATAGACACATGAGGTTTGGTGGTGGATTCCCTGTTGTTCAAGAAATTCTCTAAAGGCTCCACTCATATACTCTTTAGCATTGTCACTTCGCAGAACTTTGATGGGAGTTTGAAATTGGGTTCTCACAAAGGTGTGAAAGTTTTTGAAGATTTGTAAGGCTTCGGATTTCTCTTTCATGAGGTACACCCATGTAACCCAGGTATGATCATCAATGAATGTAATAAACCATGCTGTGCCTGTTCGGGTTTTAGTTTTGGCTGGTCCCCAAATGTCTGTATGGATCATCGTAAACGGTGTAGTGGGTTTGTAAATATGTTTGGGATAAGACGCACGAGTTTGTTTGGCAATTTGACAAGTTTCACATTGGAAAGGTGAAGAATTTTTATTGAATAAAGTTGGAAACACATGCTTCATATAATCAAAACTGGGGTGGCCTAATCTTTGATGCCACAACATTACATTTTTATTCTGAGAATTGGAGCTAACCATAGCTTTCCTTGCTTCTTTAGTCTTCATATCCTTTCCTTCAAAGTAGTAGAGTCCATCCCATTCTTTAGCAGTCAAAATCTTCCTCCCCGAGGTCGAATCCTGAAAAACACATTTAACATCATCAAAAATCACCCGACATACTTGTCCTTTAGTCAATTTGCTCACAGATATAAGATTGCAAGTGAGAGCAGGAACAAACAAAACATTATGAATTTCCAGATCATCAGAAAGAGCCACAGTGCCAACACCCTCAACTCTAGTATATAGGCCAGTTGCTACTTTTACTCTAAGATTCTCATGGGAGTATTTGAGAGTTTTGAAGAGGGACTTGTTACCAGTCATGTGGTCTGTCGCACCTGAGTCAACAATCCATGTCTCATCACTAGTTACCATTGCATTAAGGGCAATAATAGAATTACCTGACTGGATCAAGTTTACGTGGGGAACTGATTTTGATTTGTTTTGCTTTTCAAGCATCTTACGAAGTATTTGAAGTTCTTCTCTGGTCAAGTGGTCTCCATCATCACTTCTTTCCTCGGAGGAGGTGTGGTGGCTTTTTCCATCTTGTCGTTGTTTCTGTCTCCCTGGGTTTGGTTTTCCATGCAGTTTCCAGCATTCATCTCTGGTGTGGCCCTTCTTGTTACAGTGATTGCACCACTTGTTCCCTTTTCTTTCAGAGCTCTCTGATGTTTGGGAACTTCTTGTAACTAATGCGGAGCCATCTATTGGAGGAGGTTGGTTACCTTGAGTGAGGTGTCTTCGGCTTTCTTCAAACTTAACCATACTGAAGACTTCAAACAAGGATGGAAGAGGTTTTAGACCCATAATTCTGCCTCTTACTTCTTCAAACACATCATTCAGGCCCAATAGGAAGTCATAAGTTCGACCTTTTTCAACTAGTTGTCTGTAGTAATTGGCATCATCAATATTCTTCCACGGATGTACTTCAAAGAGGTCCAATTGCTGCCATATCTTTATCAGGGTGCTGTAGTATTGTGTTATAGTCAAGTTTCCTTGCTTTAGATCCTTGAGTTGCCTCCTCAGATCTAACAAGGCAGCAGTGTTGTCTAATGTAGAGTAAGTGCGTCTAGCAGCATCCCAGATCTCCTTGGCTGTGCTTGCAAGGAGGTATCCCTCACTAATTTCGAGAGTCATTGAGTTGCATAGCCAAGACATCACCTGATTATTTTCAGCGAACCAGGTGTCAAAACTAGGATCATTATGTGCCAGTTGTTTTGCTTCTCCATTGATATACTTCTCCTTACGCTTCCCACGAAGATACATTAATACACTTTGAGACCATTGGAGATAGTTGCTGCCATTCAGTTTGTGAGCCACCACCATAGCTTGAGGTTCAGTGGCTGTTGTCAAGTCTGACACTCAATCACATGTTCTCGAGGGGGCCATTGGTGAAGGAGAGTTACCTTGAGTATTTGAGGAGGTGCCGGACATAAGACCCATTGGAACGGTACCTTTGGTGGCTGGGGTGTTGCGAACAGACCCAAAAAGAGGTGGAAAATCTGATGGGTTCATCTTCTGGGCCGAAAAAGATCCTGCGGCGGCGCTGGCGGCGGCGCGTGGACTTCACGCGCGGAGGCTGTGGCGGCGCGTGTGCTTCACGCGCGGCTCCGTTTGACGCCGGCTTCTGGGGATGCGCCGATCGGCGGTTTCCGGTGAGAACTGGAGGGGTGGTGTCGGTCACGTCCTGCTCCTGGCTTCAGATCTGAGGACGCCTCACTCTCTCTCTCTCCTCGCTCTCTCTCTCTCTCCGTTTTCCGGCGGCGTTTCAGGACGGGATTTTGGGTTCAGGTCGAACCCACTGCTCTGATACCATGAGTAATTATTTTGAGTAATTCACACTCCCTTGTATTATTTCATATGATAGGCTACAATATATAGAGTCCGGATGGGTGAGAGAATCCGGTTACAATCAATCAAAATTGAATTACAATTAATTAGAGATATAGCAGCACATAATCAGGGATTGATCTTGTAGCTAAAATCATGGGTAGGGATTCTGAGGATATCACGGGATTCTAACACAGTTCATTTGATTGTTCATCCTTTCCTGCATTCTTTTATTCACCATGCCGAGGTCACAACACTCACTCTGATACTTTATATTAACAGCAGTGCAACAGACCAATAAGTGCCTTAAAAAGTAGAGGTGCTATTATTAAAATTCAAAAGAGCCCTCGTGTAGGAGGTTGGATTGTTGGGGTTCTGCTATTCAGTTCTGAATGTGTGTGTGTGTGTGTATTAATCATTTTCTGAGTTCTCATTGTTTAAAAAATTGAATGATTTTCTTATTTTCCATAAAATTGAAAATTTGTATTTGCATAAATAGCCATAAATTCGTTGAACCATTTATCTACCATATGATTTTACATCATATTCTTGATGATATCCATATCTGAGAAAGCCATTTCAAGTATTGGAGTTGCTACTGGTACTATCGAAGTTAATTTGAAAAATGCAGAAGATAAAATCAGGTATAAGAGGGAAGAAAAGGCAGTGTGTAGGAGGCGTTCATGGAATGATGAAATTTTGAAGAAATTGAAAAAACTTAGCTTTGTCAAATCCACAAAATAAAAACTTCAAGTGGATATATAGATATGTGATGTATAAAACAGTGTGTATGTATGTGTGTGTGTGTTTCACCGAATATGTATGTGTGCGTGCATGTGGTGTGTGTGTATCTATGCATGATGCATGCGAGGGTGCCTGTGTGAGATGTGTGCAGCAAAACATTATGTGTATATACCAAATATGTAGAGATATTTGATAAAAAATTAGGTGGCATTAGAACTAAATAACAACTAATGTGGGTAATTAATATTTTTAGCCAATAATTAATATGCATTTTAATATACATTTAACACACATTTGTAGGAGATATCTATCAAAAATGTTGCCCATTGAATAAGTCTGTCCCTCGTTCAGAGCTGTAGTTATAGGAATAATATCACTGGCAATATTTGGTCCTGATATATGTTCTTCTGCATTCTGGTTCTTAGTGCATGACTTGGAAATGTTCTAAATTTGATTTCCGGACAATGCTGTAGGAAACTGACTTCTGAAGAGAAAAGAATACTGGGGACGGCCCTTGCAAAATTGTCTCCTGAAGACATTGGCAGAGCATTGGAGATCGTTGCTGAGAATAATCCCAATTTCCAAGCAACTGCCCGAGAGGTGGACCTTGACATTGATGCTCAGGTTTCTCTCATTTTATCTATTTACTAGTGTTTGCTTTCATATTTGTCTAACAGTTTCCCTTCTGTGAATGTTGTTGCTTTATTTAGCAAGTTTAGTGGGCCACCAATATTTTCTTTATTGTCTGCTGTTATATTCAGAGTGACTATACACTATGGAGGCTAAAAGTTTTTGTCAAAGATGCACTGGAAGTTCATGAAAAAACCACTGCGGACACAGCTTTTAACAATAATGATATCACTGAAGACAAGAAAAACAGCTTCAAGAGGAAGAGAGACCCTTGTGATGCACAAGCGAAGACAAACGTGAAAAGGACTAAAAAGCTATCGATTTTATGATTCCACCACCGTCACAACATTGTGACAGCCTATAGGTTTGCTTGAGAATTTTAGGCTTAAGTATACATTTGGTCCATTAACTTTATATAAGGTTTTAATTTGGTTCCTTAATTCTAAAAAGAATACTTTTGGTCCTTTAATCCTAAAATCTTTTTAAAAAATGATGACATTAAGATCTGATAAAATATTCTCAAATGTTAACATATTAAGTTTAATTTTCAAAACATCCTTGATTGTTACAAAAAATTATCATTAAAGCCTAATGATTTTAGAGCTAAAGGACTAAATGTATACTTTTTAAAGTTAAGAGATCAAATTAAAACCTTATACAAAGTTAAAAGACTAAATGTATACTTTAGTCAGAATTTTATTAAAACAATTCAGGTTTATAAATCATAGGCGGTAAGTAAATTTTTTTCTCAGTTAAGTCCTTAATGATGGCCAGTATACATAATGCTAGAGATTGGGTAACTTTGTTGTGGGGTGCTCCATAATTTTGTCCGGCAGTGCAGCCTCGTAGATTGTAGGTCCGTTCTGTAAATCTTTTGCTATATAAAGTTCTGATGTTTCTGCAGATAAGTTTCCTATTTTCCACAATGTAGCCATGGGGTTATGCGGGTCCTTCCTTTTGTTCAGAATTAGTTTTTGGCCATTGTTTAGGATTTTGGTGCATGGTATGTAAATAATCTGGTTTTTGGTTTTTGTTTTGTTTTGTTGTTATTTTGTCTTTTTTTTTTTTTTCCTTTTTTGGGACCAGCTTGTGCTTGTCTGTTTTGTAAAATCGGAATGCATCCTTTCCGTTTTGCCAGGAACAGAAGGACAAGCAAACTTTCTTTCAATTGGTCATGTGCTTGAAGCTCTTGCTCTTTTTTCTTTTAATTTAATGGGTAACTGGAAAACCTTTTTGTGGTTGCATGGATGTTGTGGAAAATCAGCTTTTTGAAAATGTTTAAAAACACACGCACACAAAAGCCTATGACCTTATCAAACATGTTAAATCAAACAATTTTGATAATTCTATTATTAATCTCCATATTATACGATACAAAGTTTATAACGTTTGGAGTTCAATGCAAATAAAACCCCTTGTGCGCGCGCGTGCGAATTTTAGCAACAGATGCTGTCCATCCATTTTTTAAATAAGAAGGTAATTGGTTTTGCATTTCATGGTTGAGAATTTATTTATGCAAAAATTGATATCCGTGAAATAGTGCCACGATATGAATATGTGAATTTTTTTTTTCCTTTTGATACAATGTGAAATATTGATCCCTATAACATGTTGCTTGTTCACTAGAATGGGCCACGAGTTCCTTTTTTTTTTTTTTAATAATATTCCACTGAAGTGGCTAGTTCTATTATTTCGACTTCACTATCCTGTAGGAATCCGCCCAACCAACTGCTCTAGTTCTTCTAGATCATACACAGTTGAGGCTGTGTTGGACGGGACTACACCTAAGAGGGGTAAATTGGATGATTGCAAAAATTTTAATTAATTTAAATCAATTTAAATAATCAATTCAAAATAGATTAAAAGGGGTATTGCGACATGATTTATGTCTAGTTCTTAAAATAATTCTAAGCATTCCAATATATTCTTTGAGATTCAAACGAGTTCTTAGCGTCACGGTAAGCTCATCACAACCTCAACAACCTCAAACTGAGGTAACAACCTCTCTCACAAGGAATGAATACTTGAAAAACACTGAAGAGTAAAGAATGATTTGGCAAATGTATAATGATGGTGGCTCGAAGTTTTAAGAATGCTTTTACTATTTTAGATGAGTTTGATTGTATTCATTAGACACGATTAATTTCCTTTTGGAGCATTCAATGCTCTAACAAAAGGTAATTTTGAACCCCGTATGGTCGTTGAGCTTTAATCTTCATTTAATCTCATACAAAATGTTAGTATATGTTTTAATATGCAATTAAGGAATACTAACTCTCTTAAAACAAGTTTAAACCAGATATCAAAATCATTTGGAAAATCCGACACGTTTTTAACATTAAAGGTTTTGACTCAAATATAACAGATGAAATTAAATTTATCTTCAACTATAAGTGAGTTTTAAGATGACTCAAGGCCAAGTAGTGAGAATCAATTGTAAAAAGTCGCTTTAATTGGAGTCAAGCAACTATGACTTAAGTCATAAAAAGTAACCATGGCTAAACTATGAGCTAATTTGAGTCAAAAAATCAAGTTATATTATCTAAAGTAGCTTTAAGATAATGACGCGAGGCATAGAAAAAAAAAATTTGAAAAAAGAAAAACAAGTAAAACACTTTGATTCAGGGTAGAGAGGGAGTGACTCAAGGCAAGCAAGAAAACTTCCAAACCATGAGATGATTCGTGGTGGGCAAAATTTTTGAAAATAAAGCACTGTGACTTGAAGCAAAAGGTATTTTGAGTTTTTGACTCAAGGCAAAAACAAATTCTCTCTTTCTATCTTTTTGGTTTGTAGCTCAAGGTTAGCAGAGATTTTTTATACTGACTCAAGACGAAGGACTTTGTGACTTGAGGTAAAAACGAGATATCAAATTTAAATTTTTGATAATATCAAAACTTGGTGGAATCTTGTTTTGCAGGGGTATGGTTTGTTGAAAAATATTATATTGATGGAAAAACATTTACTTTATTGAGATGATTTAGCTTGGGCCAAAATTTAGGTACATTTACATATATTTATTATATCCAATTCTCCAACCAAATCTTGTCATGTGGACTTTTCTTAACAATAAAAATTCACAACGATAAAATTTTAAAATTCTGTTGGACGTTTATTAATAATAGAAATCACACATGACAAGATCTAATTGAAAAATGCATGCACCTAACTTTTGTTATCTAAATGCATGCACCTACGACGGACTTTTATTATAAGCAATGCATGCACCTAACTTTTCATCACTTCTTTTGATCTTTCCTGTCTAGGAGATGATGTCATTCTTTTAGATATTAAGAGAATTTTCAGTCTATTTAATTCATTTAGTATTTTTGTTATTTATTTAAGGTCCCTTCTCAACTAAGCATGATAGAGGGTACCTTATCATCATGACTATTCAACCTTTTGTTTTTGTAATATATTTAATCATCTTGAAAACAAAAAAGGTAGAAATGAGAGGAATTAGATTTTTTTCCCCCAAGAATTAATTTGTTAAGTTTTGTGATTTTCTTTTTTCATGTGGAAGCCCATTGGGCTATATCGCAGAACTGACCTCTTTCATAGGTTTGACATTGGTTCGTCGTAGGTGCTATTGAGGCCATGTTTGTTGCGTGGGAAATTAACGTAGGGAGAAGGAAAGGTTAAAGCTTCAGGTTAAGGGAGACTTGTTTTTATCATTTCAAAAACCAAATTTATTTTCTAATTGAAATAATTATTTTTTTTAACAACTATATCATCAAAACATTTTAAAATTATTTATTTTAATGTATCAATCTACTCAAAGTCATAGTGTAAACATATGATTAATATGTGTGTGTATTATATTTTATTCATATAATATGATGTCACTGTATTGAAAGATTTATGCATTTGCCCTTGCACATTCTCAAAAATGTATGATTTAATGGGTTTCTATTTTAGGAATTGAACGATTTTATTTAAATGTACAATTATTTTCTCCATTTAAAAAATCAATATAGTCATTCTTGCTATAGTTTTGTTTGATTTACCATCAAGTTGCTCTGGAATTTAATTAATTAATTGATCCAAGTCAGTTTTAAGCCTCTCTAATCATGAATAATGATGACAAGAAAGGAAAAAAAAATTACTATGAGATTCTAAGAAAGGAATGTAATCATTAAAAAAATGGGACACTAAATGAGTACTCCTCTAGTCCTATTTATCAGATAAAGATTGAATGTTGTTTTTAATCCTATTTATAAGTCATTTTATTAAATTTTTAACATGAGTGTATTATTTTATCTTTTATTTATTACAGTGTAGATAGTTATTTTTTTTAAAAAGTATGTATATTAACTAAGAATAAAATTTAAAATTTGTTATTTTTAATAAAGAGTTAATGCAGTTTAAGATTTTTCTTGTTCTATGTGATTGAAAGTGTTTTATAAATAAAATCAGAAGAATAATATTTAATGACAGATTCGGGTTTCGAAAGTGACAAGAAGTCACTACTACTCACTTACTATTAGGCTTTTTTTTAAGTATTGCATGCTTTCTTTATAGTTTCGTAATAATTTTTTAAAGAAATAACTATTCTTTCCGTTGAAAAATGCCCACTCATGCGAATAGTGACGCAGATCGAAGCAGTTGCACCCACTCTAAAAGTGGTTGCCACGAAATAACAAGAAGCACAATTGCTTAATTTAAAGTAATGCCAATAATTAAAAAACAGTGTAGCCCATAATTGCCAAACTCCACCATAAGACCCAAAGAAGACCCACATGCTTTTTTCTCAGTTTTGGGGTCATAATCACTATCATTTCAGTGGGCCCATAACAATCATGCTGGACTAATTATTGCTGAAACTCAGACTCCCCCACTCGTCCTTCCCCTCACCCCATTACCTGATTGAGAGATTTTAGTCGTTTTCGAACATGATTATCGTAATACTCCTTTTGATCTTTATTACTAAATTATAAGAAATTTTTTTAAAAAAATTAGATTGTTTTTTTATAAGTCACCAAGTGGGAGTATTAATTACATTTTTCTAGAATTATCCTTGTTTAAAACTTTATTAATTGCAACTTCTATAATTTCTTGGGTGTAATCGATACTACAGGGAATATTTATTCTTTAATTAATGGCATTTACTATATTTTTTATTCAAAAAATAGTATTTTTATTTGTTTAGGACAAAATTACACAAAAGTCCCATAAACTCAATGTTATGTGTGGATAATCTCCTTAAAGTTTACTATGAATCCCCTTAGGGTCTTACTATCTCCAGATATATTAAAGTTTAGGGGACTTTATATATATATATATATATATATATGGGTTAATTAATCCGTAAGTCCTTATAGTTTCAACGAATTTTGAACCAGGTCCCTATAGTTTTTTTTCTTTTTATCAAGTCCTTAGACTTTTACCTTTTTTTAATTAAGTCCTTGTATTTATTTATTTTTTAATTAAGTCCTTATAATTTCACTAAATTTTTAATCAAGTCCATGTAGTTTTAATTTTTATTTATTAATCAAATATAAGCTTAATTAAATAGATTAATACTGAAATATAACATATTAATAATTAAATTAAATTAATAATTATGTAATAAAAAAGTAATAGAATTAATTAATTCAGGAAAATTTTTTAGAACAATTAATTTTTTTGCTGAAAAAATTAAAATCATTATAATAATTCAATATCTTTAGAATATTATTGTTTATAAACTAATATTAAATAATATATACTATTTTATGTTTATATAATAGTACTATTAGAATTTATAAAATAAAGAATAAAAAATTCAGGGACTTAATTAAAAATAAGGTGAACTTATAAGGACTTGATAAAAAAATAAATAAATACAATGACCTAATTAAAAACAGGTGAAAGTATAAGGACTTGATAAAAAGAAAAAAAAATTATAAGGACCTGATTCAAAATTAATTGAAACTATAAGGAGCTGTGGATTAATTATCCCTATATATATATATATATATATATATATTGGAAAGGGTTTATAAACACAATATATATAAAATTTAAAGAGTATATAATTGATGGTTGGGGTTTATTCCTATGGAATTGAAAGTTTACGTGGATTTGTTGTTATGTTTCGAAGGTTAACGGGTTAATTGTGCTTGATTCAAAAATTCAAAAGAAAATTGTGTAATTTAGCCTTTAATTGGGATAGTTATTGTTGGACAACGAATCTAAATCTGCCTTTCATGGACTGGACTATTTGATGAAAGAGATGTAAATCTTTTTTATCAAGAAAATCAATCACTATTAAGAGGAAAAAATTGATTGACTAAACAATATTCAATCAAGCATTAAGAACTTGATTGAAGATTAAAAAAATCAATCAAATATTAATTGTCTATTGTGAATCAGAATATTTCTTACAATAAAAAAGTGAGATTATACTATCCTAATATTGTAAGCACCCTTATCTATAAATAGGAAGTGTCTTTGCTCATTTCTGCTCACACCAATCGTTAAGCTTTCTGTTTACATCTTCTCCTCTTCCATCCTTCTCGTGCATCTGCCATGTCACTCTTACCAAAGTTCTAACATTTTAGGTACCGCATGTGCGGTCCACGTCATGACCCAGACCTGACCCAATATAATTGTCTCCCTTCCTTTAATTTGTTTATTTTCGACAGTTATGTAAACATAGGTTTCTCAATACATAATTTTCAAACTCACCATTTAAAAGAAGTACATCATTTTCAAACTCACCATTTGAAAGAAGTTTAAAGTTTTTTCCACTTGACCTAACCACCATCTTATATTTTTTAAATCATTAACACTAAACAACCATTTGATTTTGCTTAATTTTAATGTCATATCATTATCTGCGACTTGAGAACTCCGGTATGACATTTTTATTCTCTTCCACTGCATTCTTGCATTTAGGTTCTTTTGTTTGGCTTATGCTCCCTCTAGTCTTTTTTTTTATAATAACCCATTAACTAATTTACATGTACATACAAATTTAATTAAAAGTATTAATTCTGTCATTCAAGTGATTTCTAATATTATCATCATTAACTACACTAAATTCCAACATCATATTAATTGTTGTTCTCCCACTACCCTCGTTAAATATGTGCACACAAAAATTATTTAATACTCATTGAAATTGTCAAATGGTTTTATAAAAAGGACAAACATTTCGATGCTCATCAGAGTGATGAGAACCCTAAACTCATCATATTTGTACCATTCAGATTTGATTTAGATTGTCCAAATTTAATTTCTTTATTATTTTTTTAAATAATTATTTTAATGAGTATAGAACCTAAAATAAAGGTAATCTTTTAACTATCTTATTTTCTGAAAAATGATTTTTTATTTAAAAATGAAATTAAATCACTGTCCAAATCAATTTTCAATAGTTTAGATATAATGAGCTTAAGGTGCTCACCACTCTAATGAACACCGAACTCATTCCAAAGAGTTTTTTCTAGGAGGGCTCCTGTAAGAAGAACCAGAGGGGGTGCTAGCTTACTAGCATAAATGATTTGGAGCCATTTGAAATTATTTATAAACAATTTTTTAATCATAATTTACTGAATACAAAATATAAAGAAAGTTTTGTTTTAGTTTACATGAAACGTGATTCCAATCAGGAGCTTAATTGGATTAAGGAATCATTACAGATTATTTGTTTCAAGAAAAATAGCATCAATCTTGCATCGTCCAACTGCTAATCGACAATCTATCATCTGGCAAAATATACTTCTGGTGTTGAGAAACTACTCTTAAATCGCCACTTTTACAACCCTCTTCCTATTTCATAATCATGTGAACTATTACCTATATCCTTGGTGCTATAAAAAAAAACTGACTTTGAGTAGTGAGTTCAAAAAGTCAACGATGAAAATTTTCAAGGGGAATAAAAGGTTATCGCTAAGTCATTACCGTGACAACTGTCCCTGAAAATTTGGCAATAAATCTCACTTTTTTATTAATATAATTTTGTTTCAATTCAAAAAAAAAATCATGAAAACGCAGCAATCCAATGGAAAGCTAAGGTACAACAAATCAACCATAGACTATCTCTCAAGCCTACCACAACATTCTTATTTAACGAAAACAGTGACAAAAATTAAAAAGCCATATTTTATCTCTAGCATGTAGGATTACGTTATCCATGCGTTCTCACCTAGACAATTTCTTTCAATCTATATTTTACAGGGTTAAGCTGTAAATATACCTATAAACTTATACCGAATGTGTGCTTAGCACTATGAACAAACTTTGAAGGCAAAAATACACATAAAAATTTCAAAAAATTGCAAAAATACAACGATCGTTAACTATTGTAACGTGACTATGTGTTTAACCGAAGATAATGATGTGAACACTAATGTGGCATAGAGAGACATGTAAAAAGAGTGAAGGTACAATTATATCTATGAATTTTTGTCAAGTGTACGCTTGACACTATAAAAAAATCTTGGATGCAAAAATACCTATGATCATTTCAAATAATCCTAAACTGCTATAGTTGTTTAATTTATTAAAGATGACTTTCCAATTCAAACTTTTGACTAAATAAGGTGACACAGATGCTAAGTTAGCGTTTTAGTCTTCCTCCTTCAAGTATAACTCTCTGCTGTTACAAACTATCACATTTCAGCCTCCCTCAAAGAGAAGACAAGCTGAAGCTCTCCATAATACTCACTCTTTTATTTCATCTCTCTTAATCTCTCTTGTTCTATGAAGAATAATGCTATTCTCTCAGCTCTATTTTAGTCTTCATCAATGAGTAACTGGAAAAAAAGCAACAAGAGTAACTGAGAGAGAATAGCACTATTTTTTTTTTAAAACAAAAAAGAGAGACTTAGATAGATGAAATGAATAAGTAAGTTTCGTGTGAAGTTTCAATGTGTCCTTGCGTCAACAAAGGTGCAATAGTGAGGAGAGAATGTCATTGGAATCAAAGGAAAACGGAAAGGATGTGAACAGAATTTTATCTCAATTTATATAAAAGTATTTACAAGCACAGATATAAACAAGCCTATAGTAGAGAAAGTATTGGACTTTCTTTTTTATTAAGAGAAATTTCTTGTTTGTAGGTATATACATATGCATATCGCATCACGTGCTACTTCCTTTTTCGTATTTGAAGTTGCATTTAACTTATTTGGAAGTTAGTTTAGGCTATGCATATTTGGTACATGGGTGAAGATTGGGATGAAAATGGAATAGGAATGTCGAAAGGTGTTAGATTTGTTTGGCATGAGGGTATGTTGAGCCTCCAAATCATTCCATAGGTGAAGCAATATTGGAAATGTGTGCGTATTGTCAAAATTGTCCCTAATAATGAGCAAAAAAAACCGCTAGAGTTATTCTAATATAAGGGCTATTTTAGTCATTTTCATTTTGTTTACCTCCACTTCTTTTCTATTTATATCATATCAAACATAATTTTTAAAAAATTCGCTATTTTGTTTCACGCGCACACCAAACATTGTTTTTTCATATAAATTTTTTTTTCAACATGCTAGAGAAATATATTGCTTGTTGAATAAATGATCACCGTTTTCAGATTATTTAGGCTGCGAGGCATCTTATCTAAAAAGACTTGAAATAAAGAAAAAAAATCCCCCAAAAATGGCTCATAAATTTCAAAACTTCAAATTAATTTTATTTACTACATTTTAATAGTAATTGATTATACTTAAAAAGCAAATGACAACATCTTTTTGTAATAATTTCTGATATGAGATTTTGAAATTTAAGAGATATTTTTTTTAAAATTTTTTAAAATAAACATTATACGTTATTTTAATTAAAACATATCTAATATTGAATTAGACCAATTCACATAAATGATAAAACTAAGGAAAGCCATTATCAGTTTTTTTTTTTTTAACGACATGGAAAAAACGAGTAATGCACTCGTGCTCCCGATGGTGCCTAGGCACCTTCTCGGAATTCTTTCATCCTTGATAGTACTCCCTCCATCTCTTTATATGAAAAAACATTTGATTAAATTACGTAGATTAAAAAGATAATTAAGATAGGTGAAATATAATAAATACATAAAAATTGTAATTTTTTCCCTCAAAGTTACAATTATTTTTGGGGAGAGAGTACAAAAAAAAAAGAATAAGAAAATTATTGAAATAAAGAGAGTGATGCTTCAGGAAATGAGAAACTATATAAATATATTAAGTATTAAAATAAGTAATTAATGGATGCAAAATAGAAAACTAATTTAGGAAGTCTGAGACATCTTGTAAATATTTCTTATAAAGAGAGACAAGGTGAAAATGGCAGTTTTTCTTATAAAAAGGGATAGAGGGAGTATATAAGTCATTTGGAGAGTCATTAATGCTTATTTATTAATTTTATCTCTATAATTAATGGTTAACCATGGCTTTTTTTTTATTTTTTCCCCCTTCTTCAAAACTTCGAAAAAAAATTATAATTTAAGATAGATTTAATAGGTTAAGTGTCATTGTTTAGTTTATGTGAATTTGCTGAAAGTGACAGGTAATAAATGAGGAGGAGTGTTAATATAGCCCATGTTTATATTTGATTTAAAAAGATAAATATATTTAGAAACTAATGAATAAAAAACCGGACTAGACACTAAATCGATTGAGGTCGTGGTTCAAGAATTAATTGGTCAGACCCACGGTCAACTCAGGGTCAAACGATCATGTTAAAAAACATATTTAATAAAAATAACAAAATATAACAATATTAATAATTCACTAGTAACAAAATACAAATAAATATAATAATAGTTTGATTGTAATAATAACAGAACTCAACAATATTGAGAATTTTGATTTTTTAAGAATTCATCAATAACTAAAATTAATAATCATTGATATCAAAATTATTATTAAAATTTATTCAATCTATAGTGACTGAGATATTAAAAACTGAATAAGAAAAAAAAGGACCAATAGCAATATAATCAGCCAAACTATTTATCACTGGTTCACACCAGTTTTTGTCAGTTTTCATTAGTTCACATCGATTTGACTAGTTCGATACCGGTTTAGCTCCTACCCGATTTATTAATTTTCTAGTTAAACTGACTAATTCGATCCGGTATTTTTCTCAGTTAGAAACTGGTGATGGTTTTCTAAAGCAAGGGATGCTACGCTGGCTAGTGTGATTTGACTAGAAATCTATAATATATGATCGCATCATTTTGGGACTGTTGGCTTGTCACCATGGAATGAAGATCTTAATTCTTTGGTTGTAATCTTTCATCATTATTTATTGCTTTGAGCCTTTGACTTATACTTACCATATGATAAATGGAATATTCCTCCGTTTTTTTACTTTTTTTCATCATTGAGCTTCAATCCCACTGATAATTACCCCATGTATCATTCACACATATACCCATACATTAGTCCCTCCCGCTCATTTTATAATTTAATCAGTCCGTTCCATCCTTATAATAAAAATATATATAATTAGATCAAGTTCTTATTGGTGCTCTTCTAAAAGAAATGGATGGTCCTTTTCACAAGTCAGTTAACAAGATACTCCCTCCTATTCTTATTATAAGATCTTAATTTTTTAAACTGATTTGGTCTTTTTATAAGATCCAATTTGGGACTACCTTGAAAAAAAATGAAGTGGATGACACATGGACCAACTGGCTCTATATATCTGGTTAACTATCAATCAAACTTAATGATAGCATACCAAAAAGTACTCAATATAAGAGTCCTGAATCCTAATAAATGTTCATCCAATTAAAGGTCCAACCAGTCTTCCAAAGTATTCAAAGAATTTATAGCTTCAAAATGCTTACATGTAGGGGGACATGGATCATTGATTGGATAATGATATGGACAATTACAAACTTGAAGTGATATGTGATAGGCCACCCCCCAAAACCACCATAGCATGATTAGTGAGCCCAACAAGTCCAAGCTGATGTACAAGGCTCATATGGAGTCCAAATTAAAGAATTCACTTAATGTACCATATAACAAGTATATGCCTTGGACAAGAATCATAAGTGACGTCCAAAAACATTCAAGTAGCATCTAGAAGGTCCTTATACATTGATTATGATTTAATTTCATTTTAAGAAGTTTCCTTTTTCATTTACTTTGAATAAGGCCTTTTGGTCAATTATTGTTTTAGAAGTTTTGTTTTGATTTAGTTTTCTATTTTTCAGATAGCAGACTTGTTCTTGAAGTTTAAACAATTTTCTTTTATCTTTATGTAATAAATAGTGCCTTTCGTAGTCAAATAATCATCAATAAGGCATCATCTTAGCATTTATGTTCTAGGATTATGACCCTAGAGTGTTTTATAGTTGCCTATAACATATGCTATGTTTTTTGTATTTTAAGAAGATATTATTTGGATGATTAATAACATCAGAATTTTATTTCTTTTTGTATGAGTCTTGCTTACATCTTCGTATTCTTGTGAGAATATTCGACAGTATCAAGAGAGTGATCAACTTGTGGTATTTCATAACTAGGATTATAAGAGATAGGTTCTCTTAAGGTCCTACCTTGATCATCCATTTGATTTCTTGTGTTTGGATTTACAAGAGACAAGTTCTCTTAGGGTCTCATTCCATGGTATACGTGTTTCTAACCGGTCTGCACATTCTCCTCATATCACTCAACTTGGACAATGGTTGAGGCAACATTGCTTCAATTTAGAAACTCTAGGGGAAATGTTGGACCAAATAAACTTCTAGATATTCAATGCTTGTAAATGAAAATTTTCAAAACAAATTTGCTACTTAACACAAAAAATGATAGATGACATGTAGGCACAGACTTGTCAGCTTAGTATATTTGGTCAAGTAATAGTCAAACTTTAACTAAATAATGACCAAGGCTATATTGCTACAATTAAAAGCTTTTGGAGAGTGACATTGAACCCAAAAGAACTTTCAGACACCCAATGCTCATAATGAAAATTTTCAAGACAAATTTACATTTTAACTAATGTAATAATACATATTAAAGTTTACTTAAAAATTATTAAGCAAATGAAAGTTGATCCAACTAGCACGAATACAACAAAAGTATGGGGTTAAATATCATTGCAAATGTGATAACATTGTTGGGGAGTAATTTATAAGTATATTTATAAATAATCTTTAGGTTTAGGTATATACTTATCTTTTGCGAACAAGTTATTTTCATCCTTTCGATTCGCATGCGTTCACTTGATCAACTTCATGATTTTCGCATGTCTTCATCATCATTTTGATTATCATTCATCCATTCCATGATTCAAACAAAGTAATATTACTTAACATGTTATCTAACTGCGCATCGCACGGTTACTAGTTTATATTTAAATTTTGAAACTTGTTTTGACTCTTATGAGTCAGCAAGTAGATTTGCTTTTTATGATGAAAACCATTAAAGCTGTAATTTTAACTGGAAGACGATATGATTTTAGTACTCCCTTCCCTAAATTAATTTTTAAAAAATAAAATTAAAAAAATAGTTGAATTAATTATTCATTTAGTTTTTTTTGAATGTATATCCTTTTTAATTTTATAAAAAATTACAAATTTAAGAGACGGATTAAAATTATATATTTAGAGAAGAAATAAATTTCTCTATTAGTTGTTACATGTAAAACCAAAGGTAATAGTTTTCCACATGAAATGTTAAATCAAACATGGAAGCGAGACAAATAATGGCAAATGTGGACGGTCGAGAGGGTCGCATGGGTAATGATTAGGTGGGAAATGGAGTGTCAACAATTCCACCTTGAGTGGAAGCAAATTCCATAGCAATTTTGAATAATGCATAATTTGGATCATTACTATATAGTGGGAAGCAAATCATTTTCCATGACGTGTCACCTTCTTTCTTTTGCTTTTATTATTTGCATCTTGTTTTTAAAATAGGAAAAATAGAGTGGTAATGACATAAAAGTTGTAAAGCGGTGGTGATGAGCCGCTAAAGATCTTATAGCCTAATTACGAAATTGATGCTTTACT